GTCCGACTGCACAAAATTTTATTTGTGATTTTAGAATTGGACATATTGTAAGTTTAAGCTCTGGGATTTTGCACAGCTTAGCCTGAGCCTCCAGACAGTGCAGAAAGAACTCATGGTCTCTGATCGGCAATATGTTTGTGTTTTCCTTCAGGCCTTTGGCTGCAGGCATAACACCTGCACTTTTTCTGGGCTTCCAACGAAACTCTGACCTCAGTTTTCACCCAAACTCCTATGCAGCCTTTTTTTTTTAAATGTCAGAATACCACATAACTGCTTTGCTCCTGACATGTTCTCTGGAGTTTCAGTTATGGAAAAAGCTCTCTTTGAAAATGGCAAAGTTGACAAGCCTTTCTGGGAGGAAGACAGAGAACAATAATTCCCATATTCTCACAGCAGCTCTATAATCTGTCCACACTTTCTGGTAAACAGGGGGACAATATCTCTGGAGTTTCTCATAAATGTTTTTGAATTGACCTTAAAGCATTTGCTGACAACAAACCGGGCCGTGAACAGGTGAGGGGGAGAATGGTTTCTCCCAGGGGCAGAAGGTGATATTCTCTGACAGGCACACAAAATATCTGTCTGGTACGCTGCGCTGACCCTCGAGCACCTCCTCTGCTCCAGCCCTCCAGCCTTCTGAACATTTCTCCTCTGCAGGTTTGGGTTCCGGGACCCTCTCCTCTCTCCTGGGACTGACCCAAGCCAGGGAACAGGGGGCTTTCATGGGAGATCACAGGTGCTTATATACAAAATGGCAATTTTCTTCTTCCATAATTCCATGTTACCGCATTACCAGATCTTATCGTGAGGCCAGTATCTCATTCCTGAGGTTTTAGACGTTAATGAAAGATGCTTTGCCTCCGGCCACTGGGGGCTAAATCAACAAGCCTTGGATTCCTGTTGCCCTTTGTAGAGGAATACCAAAGACAGGGAGCAGACTCGGCTGAGGTCAGAAACAAAATATAGAGCTGGAGATGAAAAAGCTTCAACTAAGCAACTGAATGCTGCAACCGTGTGCATATGGCCTCATCATTTTTGAGTTTTGATACATTTCACATCTTAAGGAAGCCTTGTGGGAATATTTTAATCAAATCCTAATTCTCAGTGCTTTTTTTTCCCTGTGACCTTCTTAAACTTTTCATATCATTCTTTCCTCCTTCAAAAGTACTCTCTGGAGTGGCAATCACTTTACACTAGCAAGCCAGCTTAAATAAATTTCCCTTATTATTCCCACACCATGCATGATAATCATCTGACACTGTCGTAGAGTATCATTATATAAACAGAAATACTAAAATGACTGCACTGTATCCATGCACACCACGGTATAATATCACCAGATGAATGGCATACTATTCCTTTCATTGGAGAATTGAAACATTTCGATAATTACTTTTTATGTCTTTAGTGCGCCCTCGAATCAGACTAAAACAGCCTCAACAATATGTGTTGAGGATATGTAATTTCACCCACTTAGGATCATTAAAAAGAGATCATATTGAATATCACTTCGAGAGAGGGAAAGAGAAAGCGAGAAAGAAATAAAGAAGAGATTTGTTTGTCAGTCAATTCCGACCCACTCAATCTCTTTAGTCTTTGTGAAAGAGGGGGAGAGAAAGGGGTCAGGGTCAGCTTTCTGTAAATCTTCTGATGAAATGTTGACAAAACAGCCAATTTTCTGTAATTTTGCGGCTGCCATCTTTCAGCAGCTTACTCACTCAGAACCCCTTCATTTCAAACAGCAGCTCACTGCGACCTCTGACATGTAACTCGTCTCTGGCTTCTTTGGCCTGGCAGAAAGACGTAACAGTTGTGCCTTTTAGGTCAGGTGGATGCCGTTTAAGGAGCCAGCTTCATAAAGGAAGCCTTTGTCTCTCAAACAGGCTCTCTTGGGCCCCAGTAAAAGGATAAGAAATGTAGTTAATAGCTCAGGAGTGGCCTAATCATCATCTGCCATTACTGCTCCAATATCAGCAGAGATGACAGACTTATCAATAACAAAGGCCCAGCTGAAGCCTCCACCGCTCTGTCATTTTGATCTTTGCTCCACTAATCAGAGCTTTCATTTGAGCTAAGCACCGGGCAGCACACCTCTCATTCTCTTCATGCTGTGCCAGATATCACTCATCTTTACAAGCCACTCCATATTCCCTCAACCCCCGGCCACCATTTTCACAAATTGGCTTAATTTCTCAGGCAAATATATGACACATAGGAGAGCTCATTATCCTGGCATTGCCAGTAATTATCGTGCTCGGCTGGTGAATTTGAGGTTTTCGCCTTGAATGGCTTTGGTTGGAATCCAGCTGATTTTCAAAATGAAATAAAGACGTGTCAGCTGAGTGTGGCCTGTAAAGATGTCGCAGGATCTCGGACTGTGTCTGCCTTGATCGTGAACCTTAGAGGTTAAATTTTAAGCAAGTGCTTGTGTAGCGACGCACAAACTCTTATGTTAAAAAACAGCCGGACAGTCACAAGTTGCTGTTTGCATCACTGACGGCCGATTTCAGATTATTAAATAATTTAAGGGAGGTTGACATACACGTGTTTTAACAGGGATACTCATGGTTAAGTATATTTCTCTTGCTCATTCTTCCATATAAAGCTCCTCCATCAAGGAGAAACCTGAGAGGGCCAGAGAGGTGCTCCCGCACCTGGACGAGCTGGCCCTTTCATTTACAGTCATGGTGAGGATCAAGCTCTGACTCACTCAGACACCTGCTATTGGGAAATATGCACTCCATCGTTGAGCTATAGACTATTTCTGGACAGGAGCACTGGGACGGCATTGTTCTCCACAGCACTGAAAGCCAAGGTATTCTGGAACTCTTGGCACATGTGGAAAACAATGTGTTATTCATGTTGGGCTTAAAGGTTGCGCTCAACATTAACAAACAAATTGTGGTTGGATTGGTGAATTGTTTGATTATATTATGTTGTAATTCCAAACATTACATAGCTCAAAAGTGCCAACTCACACTTAACGGGATTCTTTGAAGATCACTGGAATTGATAGAACAAATGATAACCCGACATCCTGATATCAATGCCAATAAGTATTACATGACTAGGTATATGGCTAGAATTGCATAAATATAATACAAATCTTTCATACTAAGCATAAGCTGTGGTATTAGGCTTAACACAAAACAGTGGAGCTCCTTATTCCCTCAGGTTGATACATGATATGAGCTCTTTAAACAAATCATCTGGTCCCTGCTCCTATACAGTCTTCTACAGGGGCATGGGGTTTGGGGATTTTGCTATGTCATGTGGGATTAAAAAGGTGCAGGACATCAGAGCCCAAGGCCACACCACCTGGAGCCCCTATACGATCCCTGGCGCTGCACCACTCAAAACCATCCCCATTAGCTTACTGCCAAATCATTCCTGGTCAACCAAATGACACTGAGCTAACAAAGCCCCATTTCAGAAAAGATTACAACTTCAACAGGAAACCCCTTTGATTATGACTTTGTTTGAAATGTTATCAATACCACAATCATTCCCGCTGATCAACAGAACCATCTCTAATCACCATGCCTTGGCTGCACCTTCGCTTGGCCAGAAACGTCCCGAAAAGAGAAAGAGGAAAATCACTGTGCGGAATAGAAGATTGACTTGTTTAACAAGATGCACGTGCAATGACAAAGCGATTTCTCTCTCAACGTTGATCACCCACCTGCACACAGATTAGGTCAGATATTCACCTGAGCTGCCAACCTGTCACTCACGCTAGATAAAAAAAGACACACACAGCGAACATTCATTCCTCTCCATGACAGCCAGAACAGATAAAGTCCTCCAGAGTAGACCGAGGACAGAAGTTTACTTGTCCCTTTCACCAGCGAAAAAAGCAGAATTATTCCTCAAATCAAACACTGCTAATACTCTGTGGCAGCATGATAACCTAAAAGTACTAAAAGTACAGCCAAGAATGGACTTGGCCACAAGATCCAGCTCAATACATGATGCAGATCACAGATCTTTATAATACTGAATGCCTTATGATTTTGGTTGAGGTTTTGTGTAAGCACTGCACACATATTAATCTTATATCCAAAACAGAAATTAAAGTATGAAAATATGCTTTGAATGACAAACCTAAAGCAAAACATGAAAAAAAAACGCAAAAAAGAATTTCATAACTATGGCAAACAAAGCTGTCAAAATGGATCTGTAGTCAAATCCTCTAAAAATAAATCTTAATAATGTTTTCACTGATAAGATATGCTGGATTCAAATGTTTGACATTCAGGTCAACATACAGCATGTCCACTATATCTGTCTAGTGAAACCCTGCAGAGGTACAAACATTTTTATTACCTGATAGTGCTGTGTTTCCTTGTATGATCCGGATAGTTATTATACACGCGGAATGAATTAAACCACGACTACAAAAAGGAAACCCTCAGAAATGTCTCATCACTTTAGTCTATGGCGCCCCTCTGTGGTATCATCATAAAATAGCATTTACGTATCTCGATCCTTTGCCATTTAACCATGATTAATTAACAAACTTAAACTATAATGAGAACACTATGATAAATTTGAATGTTATTACTTAAGCTTCGTTTGAGTTTACCAGTGACTTTTCAGCAATTTAGGGGAATTAATACCCGATTTAATGACCGCCATAGATTGACAACACTCTTTAGTGATAACATAATGCATGATCTGATTACAGGTCACCGAGGTGCGAAAGAAAAAATCACTTTGATTTGTATGAGAAAAGGTATGTTTGTGTTTAAGATAAGTGAAGGGTGGATAGTATGCATTTGATATGATTTAATCTAAAATTGAAAAAAAGTAACCACGATGTGTCTACAAGTACATTTACATATGTTGCTCAATAGCACTTTTTAAAAGTGAAACTGAGTGAAGTTAGATAAGCCACGTTATCTGCATTAAACAACTCCAAGAAGCCGGCCATTGGCTACTTTTTTTTCTACTTCTTTTTTTTTTCTGCTTGTATATGCTCCATCACGTCATATATTAACAACATGATATCTAAGCATACACCACTGACATAAGAAAGGGAGGGGCTGCTGCAAAACACATTGACAGAATGAATGCAAAGAGCCTAAAGAACACTTCCTGTTGATGCAAAAATTGCAGCAGTAACTCTGACACATCTGGACAGGAGAGGGGGGGAGGCCTGGCTGTAGTGTTAGCGAACTACTGAGGGGAATGGACAACTTTTAATGCTAATCTGGAAGAAGGTGAGTTTGGTGGACTTCATCTTTAACATGGACTAGTGACCTTAAGGGGGTTGTAATATCGGCACGGCGGGCGTTTTTCAGGATGAGGAAAGGGGAAAGATTACCTGCGAAAGTACGCTAGCTACTACCTGCTAGCAGGCATTAGCAACTACTTAGCACTCGTCGCTGTCTATATGGTTGGAAGGCTACTATTAGCATTTAGCATAAGCTAATTAGCAGAGTAGCTATTTCATATGACAGCCGACATAGTTTGCACCCGCGTTCGACGTTCTTACTGAGCCATTACATGCTAAAACAATGTCAAGCGTCCTTATTGCATGGAAATGTATAACGGAACCTTTAACAAATACAGGCTTCAATCCTCTGGTAAAATAGCGTATTTCACACTAAAACTCGACTCTAGGCTAAGTGGAGAAGCTAGTTAGCCACTGTCTATATGCTGCTCCATGAGCAGTTCGGCCCTGTAAATGGATGCACATTATCTATCGTTTGTCGACATATCAAGTTATGGCGAAAGTGGGACATACTGGTTTCAAAAACCAAAAAGCCGACGGGTGTTTTGGTCGAGCTAGTGCCGTTGTTCGCTGCACCTATATGTCGCTCACCCCCTATCAATGCTCAGTAATATAATTATTTGCATTAAAGTTTAGGAGAGCGCACATTTGCTACCCATTGTATCGGTATGTGTACCAAATCTGCCTTCCACGCTTACATATCCCGCTCAAATGCATAGTTAATACAGCATAGTCTAATTTAGGAAGTTAACTGTACAATTAGTTCAAAAGTACGCCGTGTTTTAACCCTCGTATGAAATGGCATCAGGCCACGTAAATACTATGTCAGAAACACCTGCATTGCTTTCCGTAGGGCGTGAGTTACGCTGAAAGATTACAGATGGCTGCGAAGCCGTGTACCTTGAAACAAGTTGTGCCAGTAAACTCATTGAGTAGACGGGGACAAAGTGCGGGGACATTACATGTTCTTTTCGCTACACCCGGGTCACCACGGACAGTGCTCAGTACTATCTTTGTGACATCCATTTGTGTTGTTCTTCCCCATCTAAACCCACTTTGGAAACGAGTGCTGTATCTAAATACGAATAACAAGGCATGGTAAAACATGTAGGAGCCTAACCCATTACCACATGTTAGTACGCCCCAGGTTTTTGACATATTTCTACATATTTATTCTATTGCACTATAAAATACAAGTGTTTACATTTATATGTAAACACAAAAAAACATGAACATTGCAAGATAGTCTTCGGTTAATGGTCGTCATTGTTTTTTAGTGACATTTATCAATATTTAATAACAGTATCAGTTGATGTTTCCAAATAAGTCATGAACAAGCCTCAGTTTTAAAAACTACAGCATTTTGAGAACTGATAAACATAACCTAACAAATTGTAAAAAGTCATTAATGTGTGCGGCCTTAATGACAACAATAGAGGAAGCCACTAGCACATAGGACACCCTCTATTCTTTGGATAGTTCATTATGTTTTAAGTTATGTACAGAGTAAGACGTAACACAATGGGATAAGTTTGGATTCAGTGCCTAGCCTTAAGACACTGAAGTGGAGAAACTGGTGGAGCTGTGCCTTGAACCACTCCCCCCTTGTATGTATTAACCTACACCCGCTAAATAAGAATACAGCTAACATGACTGTACATGCTGACATTAACCGAAACTTTCTTTTACTTAAAGGGCATTGCATCAAAGCAATCACTAACAAACTGTAACCATACTTAGTCACTGCAGTGGCCTTAAGTTCAAAGGTAATCTAGTAGAATGATCTTTGAGCTGACTGGTGGTGGTCATTAAACCTTCTGTATGTTGCAAATGCAAAATGTGAAATATTTGACAGGAGTGCTATGAGTAATGCAAGACTTCAAAGTATTTTAGAGAATTATTCTCATCTCCATTCATGTGAGCTCATATAAAGTGAATTTTGTGAATTACAGGGGCATTTTGGAGCCTTCATGTGGGAGCCTTCTGTTTATAATTTTCACAAGATTCCTAAATCTTATGCTTTTCTTATTTCTTTTTTTTTTAGCAAGAGGGTTAAAAAGTACAGTGCCAAAAAATTAAAACTTTGCACATCACATGATGTCACTGTCATATGATATACCGTATAATTCGGTTAGTCTTTTTAATCTGTCTGACGTTTTGATCATATCTAGGGGGAAAAAAAGAAACATAAGGATGGATTCAAGCCTTTTAAGACTTCCACTTGTGTTTATCTGATAAACATGTGGTGAGACTGGAATGAAAGATGAGCCTTTTCTTGTTTTCCACTTATGTGCTCCCAACAAATTAAATCAGAGAACACAGCCAAAGACTTATATGTACATATTTAGCTCTGCACACTCATGGCACACTGAGCTTAACATTTTTTGGGGTGCTTGCAGTTTTCTGTACAAGAAAGGTATTTGTGGTCTATTTTTGTGTGGATTCCTACTATCTGTTTGAAATTGCTCCCCATCCTGTGCTTGTTAAGCACTTCTGTCCTGCGTCAGGTCTGGCCCACAAGCTGTTTTTCAAAGTAGGTGAATGCTGCTGATGTTGAAGAAAGCATACCGTGCTTGCCTGCTGACTTGGATTTTTTTTCCCCCTCCACTGAAAAGCTAAAGTTTTAAAATATAAACTTTTGGTGAATCGAGTCCATGCAGGCTATGTTGATCTGTTGTTCGGTCCGATTGTCACGTTTTATGACAGCATGCGTTTTACATGCCAAGGTGAAGCATCTGCAACAGATCGGTTCATTATCCTATGAAGATCTTGAACCACAGATGGAATTTTTGAGCCGAGTTTAAACATTTGTAGCTTTCCCGTGTGAGTCAAGCATGTGACCCTCACTCAGCATGTGCATCTCAACTACTGAGCATTCATTCTTTGGCTGCCCTTCCACTTGGCTCCATCAAGTATGCATGCTGTTGGCAGCCATTGCTGGTATTTCTTTACTGAAAATGTTGGATTTCAAGAAGGGTCATTGCCATAATAAATGCAATGAATAGCTCCGTAGAATTTTTTTTTGGTATTTGTTACAAGTTTCTCTTTCTTGAGCCAGGATTACAACACATGGCTTGCTGGACAGGTGTCTTGGCAAGCTTTGGCAATTGGAGAGAGTGTTTACGTCCCCAAAGTGCTGACAGTACTCGGTGCTCAGAGGATCATGCTGTGGCTAGCGTGGGCCAGGAGGGGAGGAGGTGGTGCACAGGAGATGGGATAGGGGCAGATGGAGTTGGGGGAGAGGAGGGCTAAGCTGGAGAATTTAAACATATGGAGATATTCAAGATGAAAGTAGTTGCTTTGGCAAAGTACAAATTAGATTCAGTAGATCTGGATTTTTTTCTCTCAATGTTTTAATGTTGCTCCTTTATTGAAGAGGGGACTTCCAGTACTAGTTTGGAGTCACATTCTAATTTAAAACCAGTGTTTTGCTTTCCAACTGTGAAAACATCTATCCCAAATTAGGAATAGCTGTGCTAAATTACTATAAACTCTTGTAAACATGTTTGTCTTCTGCATCTCATTGTGTCTGGGTACCCCGGTTGTGAATGATCAAGCATTAGTGCACATGGGAAACTTCAAAGGTAGTTTTCTTCCTGCAGTTTGTTTCCTCAGACGTGATGATTGTCGTTGGTAGACCTCAGCAAGTGGTTGCTCACCTACCAAGCAAAACCAGAACTTCTTCTTTCTCTGCCAAGTACTGTAAATGTTGTATACCTTTATGGCAAACCTATTATGGCAGTTACGTTTTACTGTGCATGTTCAGGCGGAATAGTTTAAGTTTTGTCTACCTCCATGTTTTGCTTTTTACAGTTAAATCAGTGTATTTATGAAGATTTTTTTGTAAAATAAAAGAGGCTGAAATGAAGGAAGAAATATGCCAAACTAGGATCTTAAATTCTTTATTTAATCTGATGCTTACCAAATATATTTAGTTCTTTAGCTTTATACTTACACTTCATTTTCTTTATGTAGTACAACCTCAGCAAAACCAGCATTATCTGCAGGACTCACGCTACATGAAAATGAAAAAGTCTGCTAAATTAAAGAATTGCCATTATGAAAACATCTGTGTGCCCCCTTCATGTCACATTCAATTTGGCCTGAAAATTGGGCTGTTTAAGGTCTCTAACAAAGGCTTATGTAAATGGTTTTGTTGTTGGTCATGGTTAGTGAGTTCTGTACGTGTATAACCTGATTTTCCTCTTATGTTTTCGTGCTGTGGATGCAATGATGTTATCATACATTTTCTTTTTTTTTTGTTTCATTTTTGGGATCTTATTTAACGTGAACGTACTGGTATTGTTCTTGACAATCCTGTTCTTTATTTTGAAGTGGAACACAGTTTTTTTTATAGAACTAAATGAATATAGTTATTTTCAGGTTTGTGCTGTAAGCACAGAAAATGACATTAAATTGCTCTTATGAATTGTACTTGTTTCTTGATGTCAATGGTTTCAAGTCGTAATCTGCATCGGTCTAGATAAGTTAAACTGCTTACTCTGGAAACAAAAAAGTCTTTAAGAACATTGTAAAAGCACATCTTATCAGGGCAGGAAAGCCCCAGAAGGCCCCAACAATGAAATGTTTGTAACGGCAACATAGTTTGAGTCTACCAGACTCACCAGCATGCTAGAACACCAATCTGAGGTCTTGTGACGCTATCTGGCAGAGTGATCAGTACTTAGATTTCTCTGATACAAAAACCGTTCTGGATCTGTGGATTTTTATGGATTTTTCTGCTCATTGAATAATGCACTGCCCATGCTGTGCCATCTACTCTGGACAGTTGGTTCAAGTAGCCCTACATTTATTATAAAAATGCTGGATGACACATTTCCTTTTTAATATAAATGATGTAAACTGATGTTTTAGAGTTGTAGTTATTGTTTTTGCTTTCTAAAATGGTTTGAGAAATTGTGGGTGGGAATTTTTCAACAATATCAGATCATTAAAAAAAAAAAAAAAGTTGATTATTTTTTTTAACCAAAATGAAATTTAGTTTGTTATATTCATCATCATCAGCAAATTTGTTTGTTGCATAATGTCACAAAAAAAATCAATATTTTTCATCTCTTTTCCCGCCAGGCTGTCGGCAAACTGGAGAAACATATCCAAGAAATGGACGACGGCAGCTACATCGAGTTTGATGTGCCGGAGTTCAGCAACACTGTTCTGACCCAGCTCAATGAGTTGCGGCTTCAGGGGAAACTGTGTGACATCATCGTTCACATCCAGGGCCAGCCATTTCGAGCTCACAAGGCCGTCTTGGCTGCTAGTTCACCCTACTTCCGTGACCACTCGGCCCTCAGCACGATGAGCGGCCTCTCCATTTCGGTCATCAAAAGCCCCGAGGTGTTCGAGCAGCTTCTGGCTTTCTGTTACACAGGTCACATGTCCCTGCAGCTCAAAGATATTGTAAGTTTCCTCACCGCCGCCAGCTTTCTGCAGATGCAGTCCATAATTGACAAGTGCACCCAAATCCTGGAGAGCATCCATTCCAAGATCAGCCTTCCAGTTAGCGTGTCCAGCCCCGAGAAGGACAGCTTCCAATCAAACCACAACGGGTTGAATGACAGCAACCTCTTCATAAACCCTACCCAGATCTCCCCCCCTTATTACTCCCGGCAGAGTCAAGCAGGCCATGAAGCGCGGTTGGATCTTGCTGGAAAAGGCCAGGGCCGGGCACGGCAGCAGCAAGAGGAGGGTCAGTCGGACCGGGGCAGTAATGACAGCGTGTCCGAGCACGAGGCCCCGATAGAGGGCGAAACCGAGCAAATAGAACTGATCGGCAAGGACGGGCAGGTGACGGATGTGCATGTGAAGATAGAAAAGACCGACAGGCCAACTTACTCAGACAGCTCCTCAGCCGGGGACGACGGCTACCACACAGAGCTAGTGGATGGGGAACAGGTTTTAGCTGTCAGTGTGGGTTCTTATGGTCCCGTCATCCAGCCCGCCACCTACTCTTTCTCAGGACTGTCCTCCCCGTGCTTCGTCAACCTCAGCAGCTCCAGTCCCTCTCGTTCACTGCTCAGTGGTCTCAGAGGCGGCCGAGCCAGAGCCAAGCGCCCACTGGCCATCCCAGCGGAGGTGCTAAGCCATATGAAAGCGGGCTCAGACGAGAGCGAGCCCGCCGTGGGAGCCACCGGTTTGGAGAACGATGTGCGTGAGCGCAGCCTGCGGAGTCAGTGGTACCCCTACAACGAGAGGCTCATCTGCATCTACTGTGGGAAGACCTTCAATCAGAAAGGGAGTCTGGACCGCCACATGCGCCTGCACATGGGAATCACCCCATTTGTTTGCAAATTCTGTGGCAAGAAGTACACAAGGAAAGACCAGCTAGAGTACCACATCCGTGGCCACACGGACAACAAGCCCTTCCACTGTCAGATCTGCGGGAAATGCTTCCCATTTCAGGGCACCTTGAACCAACACCTGAGGAAGAAGCACATGGGGGCATCAGAGGTTAACAATCACGCAGACTCCCCAGACAGGACGGAGGGAAGCTCAGGTCAGAAGGACCAAGAGGATACCTCAGAGGGGATGGCCTTTGAGGCCCAGTATGCAGAGGAGGCACCAGCCAATGATATGGAGGAGAGTTCAAAATGCAGTCCAGAGGAAGCTCAAGCATCCAGATGTGATTTTTAGGTCCTGCTTCAGGTTAAGGAAGCTTTAAGAAATGTTTATTTTAACTCAAGTTATAAAGGACTCACTTCTATTTGAATCAGATCCCTCTGCTATGGACAAATCTCGTGTCAAAGGTTTCTGTCAGTTTTACTAGTTAGATGCTAAAAGCAGAGAGAAAATGGGTGCTTTATAGAAAGTCTTTCAAGCAAAGGGAGTAACAACTTGCTATTTTCGAGGTGGTCCCAATAATCAAGACCGCCGATTGATTTCTCTTTTTATCTTTCCATGTTTTTTAAAACATATTTACAGAGTTATATAGGCATGTTGCAATAATTGATAATGTGAAAGCTCTGGTAAGATGCTTGTCATATCACCTTTTTACCTGACCTGTTTTTGCACATGTGGCCACTGGAGGTCACTTACTCACAAGGAATGATTTTTCTGCCAGTGCAAAGCTTCGTGTGACATATCCGTTCAATACCTCATAATGCAACTACATACTCATAACAGGCAGTATTTTATCATAGATGAAACTCACCAGGTTCTACCTCATAGCCAAGAACCTATCAGACACAGATGTTTGATTTGAAATCCGTTTTTATTTTATCTCTGTTTTTGTACAGTTTATTTTGTTGCCAAACCCTGTACAGAATATTCTTTCAACACAAAGCCTTGATACTTTGGGGAAATATTCCTTGCTGATTGTATGGATTAGGGACAAAGTCCTTGTCAAATGTTCCGTGGTCAGCCAGGTTAAAATGATGATCAAGAAGGTGCTATGTTAAGAGTGCATTAAATTTGCTAGCTTAATTGTGCTTTTTGGGCAAACGTCGAGGATGGATTTAGAAAATGACCCCTTTTAGCCTCGTTTTTATGTCTTGTAGTATTTGTTACACAGAGCACGATTCTCTCACTCATCACTACTGGGAGTCTCACTGAGTCAACCAAGGTTGGTTTAAGTCGCTGCCATCCATACAAGGGGTGAATTACGTCCATTCAGTGAAGTCCTTTTTCTCCTTCTACACATCTGTGGGGGGAATATGCTCGCTTTAGCTTGAGGAAGGCTTCCAGTGCAGTACGCTGTGTTTGACAGAGAGAGGAGGGGTCGTCGTCATCTTAGTACAAAAATGAATAGTCTGAACTATATGCAAACAGAAAGTACAAAGGAATCTCAGCCATTGGGACATGGTTTGTATTCCACTAGCAGCAAACGTTTAGTTTCTTCCTGCGTCCTGTTGTGTTTCAGATCCGGAACACGGCCTGCTCGTTTGTTAGCCCCCGTTTGTTTGCGCCGTCACAGACGTGGCTCTCCTGAATCAAGGCTAAAAAGAGAAATGTTTTAGATAGGTGTTTAGATTCCAAATCTTGATGCACTTTGCAGAGTGATGTGTGGGCCGGGTGCTGCCCCGGTGATGAGGCGTGTGAACGGCCTCAGAGGAGGAGTCTCCTCACAGCAGTGCGTCTGACTCCCAGCCCAAACGTCTCCATCTCTGAGGGCGCGCTGCGGTCTCATCACTATCGGCTCCAAGCCAGGCATGTGGCCACAGCGCGCTCCTCTCTCTGGGCTGCGGGCTCAGGTATGGTGGATTCTTCCTGAGCATGGGATAATATTCATGCTGATTTAAAGAGAAGTTTTCACTGTTAAAAGGCACTTAGAAAAAATGATGGTTTGCTAATTTAAAGCTCCGCTGGGTGGTCCTCTTTGTGCTTTTCTGCTTTTCCTGTTTGCCATCCAGCTGATGAAAGCCTTTTTATTTTTAAAGAGTACCTGCTATATCCTTTAATTGTCTCCTATCTGGTCCATGCTTAATTTGTGTCAAAGAAATTATCATTTTACAACTTTCATATAATTTTATACTCGGGTGTGTTTTTGGTGGGAGGATATTCTGTCTTGTTGATCTTTGTTTAACAAATCCTTTTTTGTTGTTGTAATTACTTAATTACTCTGAATGTGCTGTCGACATCCTTATTAACACTTAAGATGGCAAACCAAAATTTGGGGAATTAGCAAAAATCGGTGTAGCTAGCTTTTCTTCATCTCTGTGTACGAATCGATCACAAACCCTTCCGGCTTTCACCGTCAGCGCTCCGTCGGCCTGGGCAGTTCTTACCCAGAAACCTTTATTTCTGTCACAGGCTGACCGCTGACCCGACAACACAACCATGAGCCGAACACGACAGTAACGGTTCCTTACCTTCATTTAGACAAAAGGAACAATGTGCGTACTTTTTGCCATTGTTATATCCGTTTTCTGAATAATGGGCAAAAACTGCTACTATGATTTTGTGCCGAGACATCACACCAAAGACAACCTGTCAATTTTGACTACTATATAATCAAATGCTCACGTACAACGATAGGCCCTCAATTTGATTTGGCACTACTTCATTGGCATTTTAAAGTAATGTTTGTTTCCCAGGTAAAACTTAAACTTCTCGAACATTTAAGGGGACATTCAGTAGGAAAGTCATAATTTGTATACATGTTAAAGCCATACGACAGCTGAGTATAACAAAGTTGTGCGGTGGGTTTCGCAGAAGTTAAAAGCCCATGATAACAAAAGAGAAAATACTCCACAGAGTGGCATCTTAAACTTAGTGCCTTGCCACGAGCTTCTCAGTTCAGATTCGGGCACTGATTCTGGTGCCTCCTTTCATTTCACAACACATGGAGAATAAAACGGTCACTACTGGTGCCAATAAGGTTTTTTTTGTTTGTTTTTTGTTTTTTAAGAAGAACAAAATAGAATTCACTGCTTGGCGGCGGGTGGGGAGGGATGCTGATGTTAATGTGTGACTGGTTTTCTAGCTGTGGATCACAATCAAATAGGGCAGAGTCCTGCAGCCGGAGCCCCCCCGCTCAGAGGCTTCAGGAAACCTCTGCCTGGATATTTAGTAGATAATCAACACACAAAAACTTACTGTAGCCAAATTGTATGTTGGTTAACCACAATTAGCATCAGATTGCCATTTTCTTTTTTTGAATTTTTTTTATTTTACCTCACGATTGTATTTTTCATTGATTGTTCACTCTGTTTGTTTTTGTTTAGTTTTTTATTTTATTTATTTTTTGGGTCAAAACTACATACCAACCAGTCCTCTGTATCTGCTTATATACCTTATAGTAACTCAGTTTTAAGTCCCTCTATTATTACTGTAGGTGGGGACGTTTTTCTCATCAGTGGTGCTTTTTTTGATAAGTCAGGTTTTTTTTCATCCCGGTTAGTTTTAATGAATGGTGGCAGAATTGTTAGGCTTTTTTTTTTTTTTTTTTTTTTTTATAACTCTTTTTTTTTTCTCCACTTTTTTTTTTTTTTATTTTGTCAAAATTTTTTGGTTTTTTTTTTTTTTTTTTTCTTTAGATAACTCTCACAACCAACTCAACTCTGTTTTTGTTCCACTGCTCCAAGAGGAACAGGACGTGCATTTTGGGCCACAAGTAATCAAAAAGAAGTGTTTACAAGGAAAGCTGTCAGACTACTTTTTTGAAATTGCAGCTCGTCCTTTTATAATAAACTCACTTCAGGTAGTTTACGAACACTGATACAGGCTTAGAAAAAAAAAATCGCGAGTCTTCCATAGCTTTTCTGTCAGTTCCTGTCCACTGTGTTATTATTGAAAGAAAAGCAATAACCTCTTTGAAAGTGAAAGTGGAGCATTGAGATCATCAAGGCGATTGAAATATTGGCCTGTCATGTTTCAAACAATCTAAACGTCAGGGAGCTGAAGTAGGATCGGGACGGCTTGGTATTGATTTACTATTTTATGTCATTTCTGAACCTCTCGACAGGCCCACACAAGGGGCCGTTGCCTCGAGATGTCCTAAGTTTTCATCAGAAACTCGGTGGTCGTCGGTAAACTGCAGCAGAGCAGAACCTGAGTGAGCGGAGAAGTCATGAAAGAGCCAGGCCTCTCACTGAGTCAAACGATTAAAGGGATTCTAGGGCTGTTTTGCCACTGTTTGGGAGCGGGCTACCTGTTGGCATGTTGAGGTTCAGTGATCTCCCCTGGATCTCCAGGCACCAAGACCATAGTTGCAGTGGTTCAGGATGAGGCGGGAAGCTTTGGGTCCTAGCTATCGTTCCATCTCCTTTTTGTAGTTCCCTAAACACTTCACTATGACGTCTCTGGCGCGTATGTATTTGGTGACAAGGCAAAAAAGAGAAAAAGAAAAAAAAACAATATAGTACTCAGGGTATTTAATGCTAAAAAAAAAAGTGGTATAATTGGACATACGTAGTGTGTCCGTAGTATAATTGTGCACTTCTCTTCAAGTGGGAAAACAAGTCTTCAGTCAGTGGTCCCTAACATTCTGCCTCAATGAGGTCTCAATGAGCCCTTATTTTCCACAGAGCTGAAGCTTGAGGCCCACTGGAGACCATGAACTGAACCATGACAGCAGAAATGTCCAAGCTCCTATTTTGTCCACTCTACACACAACCTCACAACCCAACTGTGAACCTCAGAACTCTACTGTTTTGTACAACTATGAAGTAAATGAAGCTAGCTAGAGCTGATGTATCTATTGCCATTTATGAATTTATTTTATAGCATGAAATAAATATATTTATTCAAATTATATATTTTACTCATAATCATTCTGTGCTGCTTCATTTTGGTTCTTAAGCTTGTAAATTGCCTTTTTATTATATAAAAAATGTCCATAGAATTATGCGTTTGTAAAATAAAGGCGCTGATTTGGCTTCCATCTGTCTTTTTTCTGTTTCCCACAAATGGATCGACTGATTATGTGTTTGCTTATTCTAGAAATCGCAATCAGATAAATGTTTTTGGGGTGACAAGTGAAACCCAGACTGTAAAGATCAGTAATTGTGACAGCAAATACCTTCTGGATTAGTGAATGATTAATGTACCACCCCGATCCTCCAGAGGGCGTAAGAGAATTACAAACACTCATTAAGCAGTCGCTGATTTTAGGGGCCACATTTCCTTGAACAATTTAAATAAATAACACATTAGAAATAAGGCGTTTAACACGTGGCACCTCAACCTCTCTATTTAACTGAGGATGCCATAAACAGGATGAATAATAGGCCACAGGTGTGAAAATGATGAAAGATGGAAACTTATTTTCTCTGTTACGGGTTGCTTGTGGAAAACAGGCCACTCACAGAAGTCACTGAAGCCAAGCAGCAACACATAAAACAATAAACCACATTAGTCTCAGATGGCTGGTGATAAAATTCAATTTATCACCCGTCCTACAGGATCTCCAGTGAAATTCTTGACATAATTTTCAGCAGTGTTATTCCTCCTGTCCCCACTGTGTTAAGAAATGCATCCAGAGGGGAAAACACGTTAAACTGACTGGCACAGCACATTCGCAGCAACTTCCCCCGGTGTTACTAAATGGATTTTCTAAAGGAAAAAAAAGATCATGAAAGAACTGCGCTTCTTTGAAATCGCTCAGCGACTGTGTGCGACGTGTACCTGTTCAAATGATTTCTGCATCTTCTCCATTTCCTCCAGAATGTCAGAGAATTTCGGTAAATAAAAAGCATTTGGCAACGACGGCCGTGCGACGTGCCTCATTCATTGCTGGGTACTCAAATAAACTGGATGAATTATTTAAATGACAGTATTATAGGACTGCAAGATATAGGACCCTAAAATAACAGTTTAAATAGCTCTGTTCAGTGGAATAAGAGAATAAAAAGGAACCGCAAAATACAAGGCCAGGAATCCTGAGGTGGTTGTGTTCCACATGCATCTTTAACTGCATTCTGTGAGTGGGATGTGTTGTGGCTCTGTAACACAGATGAGGTAGGGCAACGAGGAAGCTTTGTGTTGGTATGATAGCCTTGCAGCTAGGATGCAATCATGGGTTCTTAGAACCATTAAAAGCATTGATTGGACGTTTATTTGGCTCCGTCAGCGCGGTGAAACAATGCACTGACAGTCCTGCAACTGCTAAATTCATCTCAAAGGTTAAAAAGTAAGTTATTATGTGGTTCATAACTGACACATTCTTGATTTAATTGTATGCTTCTGGAGCAAGAGGTTTTGTGCTGACTTGATAGGTACTGCGGTCCGTCAGCTGACACTTAGACATTTGAAAAAGTTCTGCATGGAAAAAAAAAGGTGGTCAGCAAACGGGAAGAAGGGGTATCCCAGGTGGAAAGGAAAGAGATGAACAGATGAAGTTTTCCACGTACATAGAATTAAATTACAGTCATCATCTTACCAAGATTGCTTATTCCAGTTGGGCGGATTGTAGTTTGGGTCAAAAAGAAATACTTGCATTCCCACTAAAGGCAGTTAACCTCTAAACCTGTGTGTGTTGTGGAGTGAAATACACTGAAATGAAAGAAATGGAGCTCACAATGCCCCTGGTTGTCAGTTCAGTCCTCCTACTGCTAATTTGATTCAGGTCTTGACTGTGAAACCTCGATTGTCCTTACCTTTGGCGTCTGCGCCGCTGTTTATTCACTGCCTGCTGTTTAAATGGCTTCTGAACATTTGTTTGGAGCTTTTACTGGTGAATATCTGTGAGGCATTATTTATCTTCCCTGTCAGCCACGTTTGGACATTATTCAGTATCACACTGTTAAAGAAAAAGCTCAGTGTTGGAGCTGGATTGAATTGGCTGCTATATTCACAGGTTCTTCTGTAGACTTTTTACCGGGCCAACGTTCTGTCTCGTCATGGTAACGAGCCACAGGCTTGATAATTGAGAATTAGCCGCCAGTGTTTGGAGTTTTTGTTCCTGAACCATGATTATTGCCACTTTTTATTAATAACAACTGTGCTTCTCCCGCTATGACAGTTCAACTTTTTTTCTCATGTAAAATTTACGGCCGCCAACACAACTGTCTGCTCAGAAGAGACAGGAACTCCACATGAAAAGCGTGCATGAATTTGAAGGAAAAAAAGGCTTTTTATATTGATTGAAAAAGGGGAATCAAACTTATCTGAGGCCATTTGCTGAGAGTCAGCTCTACTTCAAGGCATACTTTAAGACAATTTAAATAAACTATCTAAAGCATATAATTAAGCTATTAAAATCATGTATTGCTGGCTTAATTGGTTTGCCATTATAATTATTCCCAAAAGAGGGGAACGTCTAATTCTGAGAAAGCCTTCCTTTTTCCAATGGAGCCCTGCTCATGTTCATATTTTCCTTTATTAAAAGACAGCCTGGCTGTTGCGATGAGGTTGATCCATGCTCTGGTAATTTTGACTCACTGGCAAGTCAAAAGTTCTCAGTGTAGTTCTTTGCTAATTCTTTAACTTCTTTTTTTTCTTTTTGAGAACCCAGATCATAGTTTTTCCCTTTAGGTGTGCATGGAGGAATCATTAAAGAGGTAATATTTCATTTTCATTGAAAAACTGACCAAGAACATGCCTCTGGCATATGTTTCAGTTTTCATCTTTTACTCATTGTGCTTGCAATTTAAACCTGATTTTCTCATTTATTTATTTTTTTACTGGTGATCTTATTGTGTTGATATACAGGTATGTTAGTGCTCTAGGCTTACACTGAAACCCATTGCATGTCACTTCCTGCTCCTCAGTTTTATTATCATACTGACTTGCTGAACTTAAGATAACCGAGAGAATGTTTGTGTGCTTTTGCCCTTCATCCGAATGGAATTATTGATAAAGATTGCTGTAAAATATTTGAACAGAATGCGGTTCCTAAACATCATGTGAGGCACATCAAGCTAATCCAAGGCTAAGCTGGCACCAGATATCCATGTCTCCAGTTGGAAATCACTTTGCATGCTTTTGGAAAATGGAAAAAGCACAAGTTCAGTTTTTCCACTATGTAAGTAATAAACAATGAAATCGCAATGCTCCCAAATAGACACTTTGCCACGTTATTACACGTCTCTATTTTTAAGCATCTTTAATTGCTTCCATCGGGGAGAGAGATTTGGAATAAATGACTTGGAAAAAGATGTTGTTGTTTTTTATATCCTGAGGTTTCTTGTCCCTCAATGTGTTGTTGTGTTTATTAGTGTACAGGATTGGCTTTTTTTATTTCTGTGAGACCATGATAATGATAGGTTGTGCTCCAGCCAGTGGTGGGTCAGCGAATTGGAATGCGTCATTACACAGATGTCAGACATCCTTTGATTTCAGAGACACTGAAATGATAGCAAAACTTTTGTACTCGGTATCCTGGCAGGCCTTTGGTGAGTTATAGCCAACAGATGTAGAGATCACACAGGAGAAATAAAAAGCAGTGAGGAAAATATGACAGTGGTTTCATTAACCTGGAAGGTTTCCGCCATAGAATGAGTTTTCCGACTCGATCGAAGCCGTAAAACCAAGTCTGATCACGGTTTGTGGCCTGGAAATTTATAAAAGTATGTTATGATATCCACGTAAATACTTTATTCCATCTATATCAGTCACATCTTGATCAACTTTTTGAAATTTTTTTTTTCTTGTTTTTCATTTTTTAATTTATTTTTCTCATTGTCTGCGCAGTTTTACCTTTGAAACAAAAATGCACTTTCACATGAAATCTCCAAATGGCATCTTTGCACAGGTTTTTGTGGAGGTCTAGATTTGCTCACTTGTGCTTCTTAAACAAATTGTTGGAAAGACGTTGATAAATAATCTTCTATGTCTGGTTGACTGCTTGGTTCTATGACTGGTCTTTGCATCTTTGTGAACACCACTGCCAGTGGCCACTTTTAGAAAGGATGTCAAAGGTCCTAGGATAATGATTTCACCACAGAAAAACCACCAATATCCCAGAGCTGAAGCGGGATGGTGTTTTTAAATGTAAAGGAAAGATTCCTAATGAACAGTTATAGGGCATGCTTAGTCTTTTTAGTGACTCCAACAATTGTGCTCACAGTGAAAGAAAGAAATGTGTGTGATTGTGAAAAAGAAGTGAGGTCAGTGCTGGTGTGAATGTGTTTTACTCGTGTGGTGGCTTTGTAAAAGCTCTGGGAATTTCAAAAAATCCCTTTGCTCGAAGCACAAGGACACCCACTTTTACAGATGTGAAACAACAATACAGGCCAGCTTGAAGGTCCAGGTCTGAGGGCTCAGGAAATGTGGTTCCTATTGTGCTGAGTCGGCGCAGGGTTTTCCATGTTGGTTGAGGAGTGGGACTGAACAGGCCACCCTTACTGAAGGGTTTTCCATCGTGGTGAGTCTTCAGACGTACATAGCATCCAAGGAGACTGTTGTCTCTGTTTACGGAGCCAATATAACCCCATCTTCTGGGTAACCACGATTAGGTTAATTCACATAACAGACTCCAACTGGTTTGAACTTCTAAATAAAGTGTTGATCTGATAAGGCAGGGCGACCCCGGACATGCAGCGTGCAGTTTTAATACCCACTCCATCTTTGGTTAAGAACACACAACCAAAAAAAACAGTTGAAAAACATGACAGTAACCATGATAGATCTCTTCCTCAGTGTCAGCCAAAGCCTTTATGTTGCAGAGCAGAAAGACTTTTTAGCTTTTGACTGATGGGCCGGATTTAACAGTCAGAGTCTGTCAGTTACAAGTGATTTGACTACTATTACAAAGGCATCTATCTTTATTTTGGCTGCACAGAATGCTGCTACAGCCAAAGTAAAGATGGTCAACCTTGGGGCATGGGAATTTAAATGCCACACAGCATGCCGTGCTGTTTCGTCTCAAAATATCTTATTATTGGAGTTTGGTTCAGTGCAATGTTAAGTCGTTTTTGCTTGATTTTCCAGCTGTATGTGGAAGTCTTACTGACAAGTCTTGAAATAAAGGTGGTTTCTGCTGTCTGCTGTATGCATTAGTTTTAGTACCCTGTCACATTTCATTAGTCAGTCTATGGCACGCTAGCCCTATAAGCTAGTTGAGCATCAATGTACTTGAAGTAATTCTGTAGCAGCATGTAAGAAGACTAGATTTTTTTGGTCTTTTTAAAGCAATATAGTTTCTTGACTAACAAAAAGGAGATTTTTGGTTTCTTCATCTCCACCGTGCTTGAGGAATATATGTACTTGTAGATCTTTACGATGCAAATTTTCTGTTTTTACTGATAATATCACCGATGATAAGAAGAACTGTGAATGTATTTCAAATAGCACAGCAATCATTGTCACTTAAGTTCAATTTCAGTCCAGTGTTTTGGTCAGAATATGTTTAAAACTTATCAGAATAACAGAGTAGTGATCAAAAGCCAATTAGTTCATTTGGGTGATTCATTTTTGAAAGGTTTTAATGTGAGTTTTTACACACATTTTAAATGTGCATTCACTAAACTTTGACTGAACCAAATGGAAATACTCAAATCAGTAAAATGGGCCCATATCCAGCATGGACCTTGTGTAAATCCTTTCTGGAATGAGTCTGGATCGGATGAAACTTAGAAATATAACAGATACAAAAGCATCTGGTTTACTGTGCCATGGCAGATGTCATTATGATTAAGACTCAAGGGCAGTTTCGAAAAGAAAATACTGTTATTGTTGCATCATAGTTCTGTTCTGTTGGGGATTTAATAGTTTAAACTAAACGGAATTTATTACAAAATAGATTACAAAATTCTGCTGTATTTTGCTGAATTTTGAATGTCGACATTTGTTTCTGTTGTTCACTTTGTTCCAGATATATTTACACTCCATGCTTCTACATTATACAGGCTCATAACCTTTCATAGCCTACATTATCTGCTGAGAGCAGACGGGACAAATGGGTGAATGACATGCAACAAATGGCCACTGGCTGAACTCACACTGGGTGGGCTGCATTGAGAATTTAGTATTCGGCCCCTTTTAGATGGACAGTGTCAGTGGTATGAAGAGCAAAACTCATATGTGTATGCTGCATTAAACCTTATCAGCTGAATAAACTCAAATAATACTCTTAGTCTGTATGCTTTGTTGACAGACACGAGAAAGAAACACAGGCTGTACATACTTTTTTATGCAACTTAGTAGTGACCTAACAGGTTTGAATACATTATATTACAGGCATCTTATGTACAAACGCAATGTGTTGGATCTATCAACATCAATAAACCACGTAAATCTATACAGTAAATACAGAGCTTGATTGATACAAGCATATTAGTGGATACCTGCACAATTTCAAAATGTAAAATTGTCGAAAAAGAGAAAATAATTCCCTAAAGATTCGGAAATGAGATGATTACTAATATTTTTTTTCCATTTATTTTTATCCAAACGTCTGTTAAAAACATACAATATTCGTAATGACACTTTCAGTTCAGAAAAAAGAGGAATATTTTGTGTTGTACATATTACTGATAAAAAAAAGCCCAGAATATCAAGACTGTATCACAAATGTACAGTTGTTATATTACACATGTGAAAAATGCCTTTTGCATGAGACTGATAGTTACTGGATACGTCTCCTGTCAGCCTCATTTGTTTGTTTCCTACTAAATATATATTGCATCTTTCCTGTTGGAGAGCAAGGCACTCAGCTCAAATGTATATGTATGTGGAAAAGGCTAAACAATCAGACAGCAGAGAAACAGTGCACAGATTAGTTGAATTGATGGGAGACCCTGATGTTTTAATATTGCACTTCTAGTAAAATCTTTCTCTTTGGCATCTGTCTTGATTTGGTGCCACTTCAGTAACAGATACGTTTTTTAAGAATTTTCTTTTTTGTGTGTGACAGAGGCATTACAGTATGTGTTGTTGGAGGATTAGTGGAAGGTGTTGGGGTTGGGGCGGATCATCATGACAACTTTCTTGAGTGAATAAGCTCCCCCTCTGAACTCTGCCCAGTAGACCCCGTCTTGGTAACGGCTGCGGTAATGTCCTCCTCTGTACCAAACGCCATTCAGGTTGGAGTGGGCACAAGAGTTGTACCACCAGCCTCCCTTCTGGTAGTGGGCACAGTTTCCTAAAAAAAAAAAGTCATAAAAATGAATTAAACTCAGAGTGGTGGAAGTGATGGAATTACTTAAAACTGGTTGTTTTCTTCTCTTTTTTACCTGTGTATGCATCATGATCCCTGTCCAGTGTTGTGAATTGTTTGCCATTATGCCAGGTCAGGGAGTCTCCAGCGTTTCCATGGTAACGGCCCAACCTCAGCTTGTAGAAGTCGGATTCAGGCTCCACTCTGAAGCTGGCGTACTCTGCAAACACCTTCCTGCCCGACCAGTCCTCCAGTGTGACCAACAGCTTGTAGTTTCCTTGGTTCGTGAGCCAGTAGATGTTTTCTAGACCCAGCCAGTACTCCCCATCAATGTTACCAAACCCTTGCTGTGAATAAGAAAAACGTCAGTGAGTTTTAGGAAATCCTTCCCTGAAACAGTTAGTCTGGAAATTTTAGTAAGGATTCATGTTCCTTTCAATAGTCTGGAGGTAATTATGAGTTTTATTTCTTGTAAGGGGTTGTTTATCGTCAAGGAACATTATTCTAAATGGACCAGCTGAGTCAATGTTGTAGCTTGCATCAGGTGTCCAGATTTCCACTGTTATTTTGTCATCGAGAACCCAGCAGGATGCGCTCCACTCAGTGAGAACTTCAACATACCAGTTTAGTCTAACTGCTTTGATTTGGCTCTGCTCGTACTGTAAGTTGGTTTGTGGTGCCTCGAATAATGAAAGCACTCCTTCTAAAGAATGTGTAAAAAAAAAAAAAGCACGAAATACACAGATGTGGTTTAAAAGTTTTCACAGAAGTTTTACAAACATCTCTGTTGCTGCTGCCCTAAACTGAAATGTAATCAGGTCCCTTGTGAGTTGTTGGCCTGCATACAAATATGCCCCATGTGAGTGGGGTTCCCCATTCTTCAGATAATGACAACAGTTCCCCCTGGAGACATTTTTTTTTTTATAATACACAGCCTTTAAACGGTTATGCTCTGATGTTCTTTTTAGAGAAGAGTATTTTCCTCCCCTGGTGCATCATAAAGTCCAACAAATAAATCTTAGGGGCATATGAGTACTCATACAAATGCCTATATTTATGTTTTAGTGTGTGGTAGTTTTACACGACCGGTAGATATTGCTGGAATGAATGAGTCATGAGGCTGCAGCTGAGGCAGGTAGCACATCAGACCACATTAGATGCTTTGAAAGCCGAACAATAATCTATTCATTAGTTGTTCACATCTGGCCGGTGGCAAAACACCTTACATAAGCCACCGGCTTCCCTCAGCACTGTGGGTTCCTTTATGTGGTTTGAGGTCGCACCTTGTATGTCTCCCAGTTCCTGAAGAAGTTGACAGAGCCGTCCACCCGTCTCTGGATCACAGTCCAGCCACCTGGGTCGTGTCTCTGGTCACACCACACCTGCATAAGGCGATTGGCATTTTCTGGCTTGACCAGGAACATGCCGCTGGCAGTGTGGCCGTCTTCCAGAGCCTGCAGGCAGTCCCGGAACGGACCTAAACACCAGGATCACAGTGAAACCATATGAGCTATGTACAACTCAGTTAGTTACCATGGCGTGTCATAAATAAAGATAAGGCAGTAGAGAAAAGCTAAACTGACACAGAGGCTTTGCAGGAAATCCCGTTTTTCAGCAAAAGTGCTCATTCTTACAGTGAGATTGACTTTGGCTGCTCCTCTCGCAAGGGAAATGGCTGTCGAAGGAAAAGCCAAAACAAACACTGGCAAAGAGGGCAGAGGGAATCCTGACTACTGAATTATGTAGAAACAGTAAAAACTAATTTCAGATATCCATTACAATTAACAGTACGTGGCTGTTACTTTAACTCACTTATTCTCTTGTATATTATATTAGATTTTAAAGTATTTAATTAAATGTGCCCCTGTAAATAAAGTATTATGCCATGTTTTGAAATGCGTCTAATAAAAATTGTAAATCTGTATTTTACACTCCATAAGTTTGCCAAGAAGCTTATTGAGGTTGTTGAAAATATTATCATGAGATTTGGTATAAATAAGATTAACGTCAATATAAAAGTTTAAAGCTTATGAAATTGTCTTTTTTACAGCAATCTCTCTAAAAAAAGAAAATGCACAGTGTTTTATGCATCTTGCACAAAATCGTATTCTGAGTATATTTTTTTGGGATTTCATGGTGAGAGTCTTGTAAGCCTATCTATATTTTTGATGGTATGATTTTACTGTAAATATCAACAGCAAATAGGCTGGTGAAATACTTCATAGGTGAAATGTGCAGAGTTCTCTTCCATTCACTTTGGATTACTTTACAGGATTATCCAAAGTTCGCATACAATTTAAGAAGAAAAAAGTATTTTCCATAAACTTTAAAGATTGTTTTTGGTTTCGTGAAATTGCTCTGATTGATATCTGTTTCTTTGCCCCTGCTCAGTCATCCATTCACTCTGAGGAATGTCTCTGTTGAGCAGATATAAGCCAGAAAATTGCCCTGCCCTGGCCTGCTCGGTTCTGCCTGATAAAGTCTGCTCCTTTGGTGGAACATATGACTGATTCCTCCCTGGTGCAAATGGAACATATGACATCACTGGTATCTCTTTCTGTTAGTACTACTTGCCGCCTCCCCTTTTTCTTTGACACCATCCTTCGCGTTTTTTCTTTGTCTTGATTTCACATTTCCTCCTCTCTCTATTCCTGTAAATTGTACAGCTCTCTGTTCGTGTTACAGTAAGGATTTATTAACTTTTTTTTTTTTTTTTGGGGGGGGGGGGTGTTAGTTGCATGGCCGTAGGCTGGAAATTACTACCCACTTTCAAACAATCTGTACAACTGTTACTGTTCTCATGGCAAGTACTAAAGCAAAATGTCAATGGAAAAAGCTCCCACAAGTCTTCATGGAAATGGTGTGTTGTTTTTTTTCCACCGTTTACCAGCAAAGCGAAGTTTTCACATGAAAAGAAATAGTAGGCTGTAAATGGCCGTGCAAAAACCTTTTTACATCAATTTTTAAATCTGCTAAAATGCATTCAAAGATCATTGGGCTCAGGGCCAGATATCCATTCGGGCACAAGCGTTCACCCTTTCTTTATGTTAGTTTTTTTTCTTCTTTTTTTGGACGGGGGTTAAACCATGGCAATTAGATGATATGCATCTGACAAAGACAGAAGACAAGAGCTTTACTGTTCTGGAGTTTGGCGGTCCTCCCTGGGAATACGTGGGACATATTCAAATGAGTTCTCACTGGAAGAACGGCTATGTAGTATTTCTGGAGAAATGATTAAGCAGCTTTGAGACACAACCTATTGTTAGTGATTAATGTTCGAGATAGGAACTGGTTTGTTTGGTGAGACTATGAAAAATGTCTTTTTTTAGGTATGTGGTTTATGTATTTTATTAAATTTTAGAAGGGCAACACACCCAAACTCTAAATGAACTCACCAGAGGGCTTGTCAGTGGTTGATGGGCTGTGTGTGCCGGCGGGCATCGTGGGAAGAAGAGGCGGGAGAGACTTTTGATCACTCTGGATCTCATTGCTGATTGGGTTGTTTCGCGGGAGTGCGGGTGGCTGGTAGGGCTTGGTGAGAGGCGGTGATGGAGGAGGTGGATGGGGCCGTGGCTGGGGCTGGGGCTGGGGCTGGGGCTGGGGCTGGGGCTGTGGGACGGGTACACGGCGAGGGGGGGGGCGACTCTGGCACTGCTCCTCCAGCAGGGCAATGAGAGCCGACTGGTTTGTGGCTAAAGAAGCCAAGTGCTGATATTTGTGCTCCAGATCTTTGTAACGGCTGGTGAGCTGTTGCATCTCGGAGGTTTGGTTCAGGATCTTGTTCTCCATCTGGGCCAATTCTAATGCATTGTCTCTCTTCCTGATGATCTCATGGAGCAGCTGCATGTACAGCTGAGTGACTCTGGAGTTCATGTTTCTGCTTTCCTTCCTCAGCAGCTTGACCTCGTTGACGATACCTCCATCCACTTCCACCAACTGCTGCAGGGTCTCAATCTGCCTCTTCTGTTTCTGCAGCTCCACATTTAGCAGCTCTAACTCTTGTTTGTTGACCCGGTTCTCCAGCACGCCCTCCGGCTCCTTCGAGTTAACGCAGATTGCTCCGGTCACTTTTTGCTGAGGAACAATGAAAGTGTAGGAGCACTTGTCTTGCGGCTGTTCGGCTGGGGCACGCTTGCTCCTCCCGGCGTAGAGAAACTCCCTCTCTAAATCATCCTCACTGCTCCCAAATTCTTGGGTCCTGTCCCTGCCGTGGCTCTTGTCCGACTGGACACCACAGGCTAATCCATATACTAGAAGGACCCCCAGCAGGACCATTGAAGGGGGCTCCATGAGTGTCCAACTCACCAAAGCCTGAGGACAGAAAAGTCACAAAATGGAGGGCGTGATTATATTTTTGAGATTAGAAAAGACACTTATAAACTGTTGACATGTGCCTTGTGGGGATCCTCACTCACACTGACTTTGATCTTTCGTCACGTCAAGGCAACAAATAGCATTCATGTGAGGAAATTTGAATTTTATGAGACAGAAATCACATGATGGCTCGGATGTTTTCATCACTACTTGCATAACCACACATAGCTGCATTCCCACTGGTTTTCATGTGTGACTCACAAAACTCAACTAGCCTTGAGTCTGGTGTGTATAAATCTACTGTCTATTGTAAAAAGTCGCACATGTTTGGAAATTAAAGAATCCGGTCTTCTGTTGAGTGAAGTGCTGATGTCTTCAAGCGTTTCATTGCAATGAGGAGAGTGTTCAGCTTAGTTAGCTGTACTGGCTCAGATTCTCTGGAAGACTGCCACGGCCTGTCCTTAAAACACAAAAACACTCCTATCTATTTGCTTCTGCAGGCCTCGGAACAGTTTTTATGGAAAAACTGAGATAATACCAGATTACGCTATGCAGATAAATATTGATGTGGTATCAGTCCTGTCTTTAGCCCTTTTCAAAGGGAGGAAAATATGGTACAATAATGAATCAGAATCTATTTATCGTTATGACATTATTGCGAATAAGATATGCTGGACAACCCTATTTCTATTAGCAATGATCTATCAGTAATTAGCAGATTATTAGCAGTAACAATCTGACAAATACTGATGAAGTCTCTGGCCCTTTTTACCCACCTGATTAAGGGTATTTGTTGCATGTCCTGTGTGTTTAATAAGTTGATATGTCTCTCATTTACCATTCAGCAAAGATGGTAGAAATAATGCAGAATTGTCTTTCATTAAAATAGCAATAATGAAGTGCTGAGCTTCCTCTGTTAGTTTTGGTTGATTACCAAAAGGAAACAGAGTTAGGTCAAGAAGTCATCTTCTTCTTCTTCTTAGTTTATTTAGTTAGTTATTCAGTTATTAGTTTAGTTAGTTATGGGAAAAAGGTGTGAGAGAAAGGCCTATTAAGCTTCCAGCTTCTCTTTAGGTGTGTTTTCCTTCTTACAAGATCTTTTGGTGAATTTTGAAAGTGCTGGACAAATAGATGCTCTGATTTAAAACTTCTGTTTAACTTTTTTTTATTTAAAAAGAATAATATTAGGCAGTTGTTGAAGATGTCGTGCTCTGGGTTGGGGGACATGCCACTGACTGCCATAACTCCTCTACAAGGATAACAAGGCCTTAAACTCCCAGGATACCTTAACTGAAAGCCGCTGCATATTGGATTACAGCGAGGTCCTGTGTAACACCTCTCCAAAGTCCAAGGGGGCCTGTCTAATCAGAAAGCATTACAGGGAGGCACGAAATGATTGAGCACGAGCTGAGGGAGGACTGTCAATCCCACACGTACCTCCCTCTCACATTCGTTGTGTCTTACCTTTTTGTGAAAGATTATCCACCGCAAAGTTTGAGCGTGAAGGAAAGTCAGAGATGTTTTTGGCTTGTTAATCCGGGCGTGCGGCCAACGCATTAAGTGGAGACGTGGGGAAGAGAAATGCAGCGCTCCGAGAACATGACCCCTGGCAAAACTGACCCCTCTGGTTCTATCTGTCTCGAAGTGACTGTGTAAACACATTTTTATTACCAGGACTAAAACTGGTAAGAAAATCTGGGTTTTGGACAGGTTTGTGCTCAATCTACCTCATAGACTGTCTTTCTTATGTTTGATTTGACCTAAGCAGACAGAAGCCTGTGGTGCAGAAGAAACAAAGGCCTGATTGTCCCTGGTGTTTCCCTAAAGCGTTACTTTAAGACTCACCTCAGCAGAGATGTAACAACTATAAATTAATCTAATTTCTGCCAGCACAGTCTGAAATCTGTGATGATGCTTTTCATTTGAGAAAAAAGCCGGTGCATGATGTCACCTCTGCAAATAACGACTGAGGCTGAGATTACGGTGCTGCCTCATCGTCGCTGTAGTCGTTCTGATATTTCTTTTTTTTTTCTCTTCAATTATTCATTGAAGACATCACTAATGATACCTTACAACTAATCCCACGCCGAGATAATAGACCAGCTCACAGCCTGTCTGTTTTAATGTGCTGATGACTGTATTTGGCCAGTGGCTCCTGTGGTTTCTCCTCTGGAACATGAGCTCTGTCTCTGAGAAAAGCCGTGTGATTTGCCCCTGCTGTGGAGGAGTCCCATTTTGGATGTTGTTAGCCTGGAATCTCCTGCTCCAGGCTCTGCTACACTTCAAAGCTGAGAGGAAACTGTTTGCAGCTTGTTATGAAATATGTGTTTGTAAGTGTATGCGGTATGTGCATGTCTGTGAGTGTTTTTTTTCCCCCTGCTTTTGTGTGTTTTCAAAGAACAACACTTGCTGGGCTTTGTCTCCCGGGGAGCAGAGAGAGTCCCATCTGCCCCGGTGGAGGCAGCCTGTTATTAACCCATCCACAGTCTGCCAGGGGGAACAACAGAAAGCCTTCACCTCCTCCTTTGCTGTTAACAGCCCCCATGGCTCATTATTGACTTAAAATTGGTTTGCTTGACCGGCCAACAGCTGCAGAGATTAACTGGTGTTGAAGTGCTGTATATGTCTGGATGAAAGGTGAACAACTCCTGATTTTGATTTGATGGGCATCGCCTCTTAGACCTGCATCACATCAAAATGTTTTGGTTGGACTGTCTTCGGGTGGTCAGTCTGTGTTTACATGACTCCTCGTTTTGGATGTTACTCAGTGTTAAATTAGGCACAAGAGGCTGGTGTAATGGGTAGGTCACTGTGCTTCCTACCAGCATGGCGCTCCAGCCGTTTTGGTCATGCTCAGCACATTATTAATTAGAAGGTGGGCAGCCTTACTCAGAACAGCTCATTTCTCTCACCCCAGCCCTTCTCATTTGAGCGTGAGCACGGCATTCCTCGCATTCTTCGTCACCTCATTAGTGTGAGCTGCCATACTCACATGGAGAGTCAATGGCAGTGGCAGACGGACCCTGGAGATGCGGGACCACTGGCCCCATCATCCTTCCTCTACCTAGAAGACTTATTTACTGACCCAGTTCACTCCCAGTGTCCTACTTTCTGTGTGAATGCTTCATAATCACATCATCATCATCCGCTGCAGGAGATCACAACACAGCTACACACAGCACCTCATTTGTCAGTAGCCGAAAAAGCGGAGGACAATTTGCGGGAAGGCTCTGAGCTGCATGCTCAAATCTGCACCAGCTCAGCTGAGAACGAAGCATGACACCCAATATGTGTTGGATCAGAGTCGGACCCAATTTGCTCATGGTAATCTGCACTATTACTTTACCTTGGGGGTAATCCAATTCTTCCTCAAGCATGTAATCTTTGTATGTAACACAATATCTGAAACATGACTGACTTTGACTGGGCTCAGTTTGGTTGCTAACAGACATCGTTTGTTTTGACCGTCCACGGAGCAGAGGAGTTTAAATGTCATATCAAAAGTAGTTTTTACTCAGTTTCTCTCTCACTGGATGAGCCACGTTTCTGTACTTGACTTGTGATCTCAGAAAGGGAGGCAGTGGATCTGGGGAATTGTTTCGATAAGTTCCAACATTATACCTCAAAGCCCCCTTATCCAAACACGAGCCTGGCAGCAGAAACAAAGATGGGATTGAAGTGCCTGCGTCCCTGTCAGTTTGCTTCCAGGGGAACATCCTGAAGCTGCGCTCTGCTCTCCATAGTAAGGTTATCTCTTATTTCCTCTCGAAGCTAAAAGCTCCTTTTAAGATCATGAAAAGAATCAGATATAATTCAAAGATCCTGCTGCATAAGACATTCAATGGACCCTCTTCACAACTTATTTGTCTTTTGTTTTACATGTTCGGAACTCAATTGTATTACTAAGAATATAATTTACATCAACCCCATGTACTGAAAAAAATACCACTGGTAAGAATTTGTTCATGTCAGTCCTGTTAGTCATTATAAGGTAGATTAGTCTCGTGTACCAAACAGTGAGTCAGTTAACAGATGCTCCATGGCAACAGCTGAAGTGAGGATGAATCATAATCACTGGAGCTGAATAGTTGGTGGGTGAAAAGTCAAAACGTGACTTCAGACAGCAAAAGCAAGATGACCATCTCAGTGCAGGACATGTCACTGGCCTGACTGACCCAATGCATCAACAAAACGTGTCTCCCCAGCAAAAGTCATCATTTCATCATTTCTTCTGTAACTTACACGCGTGGAATCACACAAGTAAAAAAATCATATGTGACTTAATGTAATGTGCACATGAACTTTCTCTGAAAATAAGCTATTAGATGAATATATTAAGAAAAATGTATGCTTACTAGATAATTGCACAGTGCTGCTGACGCTCCCTCAGTTGCCTTGCCCTCCTGCCAAAGCTGTTTGAAGTTTCTCTTGGTAGAAAGTCATCCCAAGTGTAAAGCTTTCACCCTCGTGTCTTCCTCTCTCTTTCTGTGCTCAGCCTGTCCAGTCAGTCTCTTATTGTCACCTTAGTCCACTCCAGCACTGGGGAGGCAGTGGGGTGTTAAAGCCTCTTAGTGAAAGACTGTCATTTGTTCAACAGGACACAAACTTCCAAGAAAGTCTTCCATATAACTGAGGAGGTTGTTCCTAAATCCTTGAAAGGAGCTTTGACTCAGGTGAGACTACTGGTGGCTGCAGCTGCTGGTGGTGGTGGAGGTAATTTCCTGGTGACCGGTGTGAGTCCAGGGCAGGCTGTGTGCTGCCTGTGGCCCGTCAGGAGAAGACTGTCACTTTTCTGCGGGCTGAATCCATCACTTCTGCCTCACAGCTCAAAGAGGCTGTCTCTCTCAGCTGCACCTCTCTCTCTCCCTTTCCTTCCTTGGTGCTTTTAAATGATGAAAAATGCTCAAGCAGTTTTTTTTTTTTTTTTCCGGTAGGCAGAGCCTCCCCCCTCTCCCTTAAAATGAACACATTCTTGTTTAAAGCAACAGCCGTTTTTCTCCACCCCTCCTCCTCGTGGCACAAAAGAGATCCACAAGCATGCACAGTGCAAGTTACTCAGACACAGGCACACACCCACACACACACTGCTCAGATTTCCAACCCCCTGCCCCCTTGCCACAGGTTCGCCACCACTATTTCTGGCTGGGGTTGTTTTTTTTTTTTCTGGTTGTGGACAGCGGTGACGTGACTCTGATCCGATCATAATTGGGCATGCTTGAACATTTGCCCTTTGGGAGTGATGGAAAGGGACTGATGCAAAGGAACCAGAACCAGGTGTTCCACTGAGTCCAGGTCTGAGTCTCTGACCGGTGATTCGGGATAATAGCCCGGAGGTGAAATGTCACAGACCGGCTGGATCCCTGCACACTGAACTAAACCTCGCAAAGGAATGATTACATCACCCCTTCGGAAGGGTGTTGTACATAATTGTGTATTCGTATTTTGGTGGTCAAGAGGATATGAAACACGTCAGTGTTGGTGTGGAGTATCAGCAGCTCTGCCAGTGAACTGCAAAGTTCACATGCAAAAGCTGTTGGTGACGTCGTCTGTTGTTTTCTGCTGTGTCTTCCTGTTTTCAGCTCTTTTCCCCAGACAATTACATGTCACCAGATTTCCTGTTTGTATGTTTAAAGGAGATTCACTTTTCATTTTCAACTTTTTTTTTTTTTACTCTTTGTAATATTGAGCAAAGGAAGACCCCGAAAAGTCAGGAAATAGGTGTGGCGATTCACTGAAGCACATGCAAAGATAAATTGAAATGGAGTACACAAGGTAAATATGGTTCCAATAAAATCTGTATTTGGTGTGATTGCATGATTCCATCAATATAGCTTAAATTCTATCAGATACATTTTTTCTTATTTATCTAAACCTCTATGACTTTAGGAATAGTTCTTCAGGATTGTTGATAGACATTCAAAAGCTCATCCTTCGATGTTGGCTGCCTTTTCGTTCCGTTCTGTCAAAATTATTCCACAGTGCTTTAATAATTTTGAGCTCTGGGGAGGATTCATGCCTTTAAGATCTGCTGCTACTGATTTTTAGTTCAGTCCTTGTGTCATTTGGCACACTTTTAGCCTTCTCTCTCTTTCCAATGGGGCTTCAGTGAAAAGTCAAAAGATAAACTGAAGGTCCAGATGTGTGTCGTAGGTCTTCTTTGAGGCTTTTGTTTCTTTTCTCTTATTTATGAAGGACAGCACTTTTAGAGACTGTTCAATTGCTTTTTTTAAAGCTACAATCTCTCTTTTTGACTTCTACGCCCTGAAGTTTTTCTTTTATTTTTTTTAAGAATGAACTGCTCACAATGCTGAAATATGGAAGGTTCCTTGGAAATTATCTTGCTTTTTGTTGATGCATAAATACCATTTCTCAAGATTCTTTAAACAAATGTCAAGAAAGTCTAACTTCTTGAGTGTGAAAAATAAAGTAATGAGGGGTAGCACAAGACTTTTACACAGCCTTGTAAATTACAGAGGAATTCGAGCAGCTTGTGGAATAAGTAGTTAATAAAAATGTCTAAGTGCCTCGTTGTTAATAAAGTTCAATGACTTTGACACAAACTGAAGTAAAACCAGGGCTGTGGCTCATTTCTTAGTCAGTTTGTTTTCGTCTTTATTATCACCAACAAGTGAATACTGGGTATCATAAGGCCCCACCTAAAAAAAAAAGAGTTATTTTGTCATTCATGAAACAGTAAGTGTCAGAGTTTTACTTCAGTGTTTTTTGTGGTTTTGACTTGAATAGAATTTCGAGTATCACTTCTGGGCTTGTTTTACAATGCACATGATGTGTAAGTCTCCCTTTTGGAGTATAAACATGAAATATGTTACAGATGGTGAGTAACTTTTATGTGTTAACTGCTGCATGGTATAAACTCTTAAAGTGCTGGGTTCCTTTTTAAATTAAGGTAAATGAGCAGGAAACTTGCTCTGTTTTTAGCTCAGTGTTAGATTAGTAGGTATTTCCATTAGTTCTTTGTCAGCAAAGATTGTTCAACGCATACAAATAAAGACATAACGTAACAAATGCAGTGGAAGTTGAAAGCTGAGGTTTTTCCACCTGGAGCAGGAAATTATTTCCTAACCTAGAATGGCACGCAGTTTTCCTCCATGTCCAAAGCTGTGTCCACCGTTAAAAAGTAATTATCCAGATCTGCACAGGAAGTCTTCACCGTGGTCAATATTTCTCCACCAAATTTCATTAAAGTAGGCTTTGTAATTGATACACGATCTTGTTGAAAAAAGGCTAATAGAAAAACAACTTTTTGACCATACCATGACCATTTTCCATTGTTAAATTGCATTATTAAGATTATATTGAATTTCCATGTAAAATCCCCACGTGGCCTATAGGTACATTAGATGGATGAATCATTGAAAGGCAGGATGTTGTGCCTGCATGTGTTTTCATTATTATCTTTATGAAGTGATGGCACTTTAATGAGTCACTGAGGACTGAGGAGGCGATTCATATCCGATCACCTTTTACCTCACAATTGTCAGGCGCTACCGCAAATATTTCTGTTACGTGTTCAAGATGCAAGAGCGACAACTAGTCATAGCTTTCAAGAAGAACTTGATACCTGCTGTGAGTATAGAGCGCAAGATATTACATAAGGGATTACTGTGTTTCAGTTTTCCAGTCTCCATGCATAATCTCTTTGTACAGATTAGATTAACTATTTGAAAGAATACAGCTGTTATTGTTCTTCCACTGTCAGCTCACTTTTTAGTGAATGGAACTGTTTAAACACTTTCCCTGATGACACAGCAAGAATGTACAACTGGCTTTATGGGACTAAGTTTCTGGCAGATGATGTTGGACCTGTAAGAAGTGGACACATTAATTTCAAAACATCGAAGGGGTGAGCAAGACCAAAGGGTTTCCTATTTGAAAAACTAATCCCTTAAAACTATCAAAGAAAATGCGATTAAACCTCAGCTCTCCTGTCGTAAGTCATGAAGGTATTCATTTGTTTTTAACCAGATTTGCTTCATTCTCTTATGTACTAATGACAGTACTTTTCAGTCTTTTAAGTCAGCCACTGAGTCAAATCCAAAACCACGGTGTTGGTGAGGTGATTAGTTCTCTTTCCAGGCAGAGGAGCACTGGATCGTAAAAAAAATATCGGGAGGAAAATGTTACACCCATTTTGGAATAGTAACCAATCAGGGCATTATGAAGCTGCTAGCACCACATGAGAAAGACGGTGGAAAGTGGTTTCAGGTTGGAAATGTTTCACAGATGGTCCCCTATAATGGTTAATGAATGAATATGTTCAGAGGGCTGCCTGGTTGCTTAGCAATACACTGAGTTTAGAAGCAGGAAAGCCTTTGTTATGCGTACAGTATGTGAGGTTCCACCATTGCATTATAAATGTCAGATTCATTGAAGTGCCTATTCAATTAGGGGTCACATAGCTTGTGTCAAAGTGCTGTATTGTAATAGCCTGTTTCTCCAGCAACTTGCAAAACAAGCTCACAGAGCCATGACAGAGTCAAAAGGAAGGGACAGTACTGGGCCAGCAACCCTTACACACCAAACATATTTTTCCACCTCAGCCAAAGCACCACTTCAATTTTCTTATATAACCATTTGAAAAGAGATAATGCTAACAAGATTGTACTGCGTAACCTCCAATTTATTATGTCATTATGCTGAATGCTTTTGCTTACGGTGATGCTGCTGCTGAAAATGTGAAACAGTCAAACGGTCTTGGCAAGAAAACGAGTGTCACAACAATTTTCTGAGAATGTGCTTTTGAATGGGTGGATTACAGGGCTGATTTTTGTATTTTTCCATGAGCTGATGTTTTGATAATAACATGCCCCCTGAAAGGAAAAACATGACATCATTTGTTAGTGCTCTTGAGCCAACTGGATGTAAGAAATCCTCACAGAACGCAAACAGAAGAGCACGCAGTGGAATTAATTCAAAGCTCGATGTGTTTTTAAAAAAAACTTTAGCAGGATATCGACAGGTTTCCCTGCACAGCAGGGGATTACCAAATAACTCTGTGTTGGTTTATAGATGAATAATTAAAAAACAGAGAAGGCAAACACATCATCAGAGCAAAAATGATCTATATATTTTGTCTGCTTAAACATGGAAACAGTATATCATCAGGAATGCAGTAATTCGCCAGAACATGTCTTGTGTCCGTGTAAGCTCACTTAGAGTTAAAATGACATAGCTGTTGGGACTTTTTTTTAAAGCACCCCCCTCCCTCACAAAGCCTGGGTCAGAAGACTGTAACTGCTGGACCCAGCTAATTTTGTTTAAGCGCTGCAAGTTTCAAATAAACTAAAACTAGACAAATCATAATATTGGCCCAGCTTTGCCTCGTTTGCTCTGCCTTTGAGGTTTGAAATAATAAATGGAACACATCAAGTGGAACATATCAAGTGGATTCAGTAGTTTAAATCTGATGAGGATGAATTCCCTACAAGTCATATGAGGCTACGCTGAGGTAATCTTCACTCATAATGCTGGAATTCCAGCCGCTTACTTCCATGTAATTATTCAGATTTAAGTCTGAGAGGAAAGAGTGACCATATTGATTATAATTAAGTGTGTGATGATCTCAGTTTAAATGTCAGTGCTGCACAAAATTCATGGGTGTTTACCTTTAAATGACTTCACAACCCCTTTATTGGGATAATTGTAGTTAAATTTGAAATTAACTCAAACTAAGAGCACACTGTAAATGCAAGTAACACAAGTCATTTACTGCAATAATTTTAAAAAGAAATACTGAAAATAAGTGCATTGTCCTTTTGATCTTTTTAATAGTCATGGGTGATCTTGATTTGGCATTTGATCAACCTCTCAGAGGAATCACAGTAATCCCATCATTAGAAAAATGTCCCTA